TGCTTGCTGCTTGCTTGCTGCTTGCTTGCTGCTGCTTGTCTGCTGCTTGTTGTTGCTGTTACTTGCTGTTGCTGTTGCTTGCTGCTGCTTCCTGCTGCTTGCTGCTGCTTGCTGCTGCTTGCTGCTGCTTGCTGCTTGCTTGCTGGCTGGCTGGCTGGCTTGCTTGCTGCTTGCTTGCTGCTTGCTTGCTGCTTGCTTGCTGCTTGTTTGCTGCTTGCTTGCTTCTTGACTGCTGCTTGCTGCTGCTTGTTGCTGCTTGTTGCTGCTTGCTGCTGCTGCTGCTGCTTACTTGCCTGGGTGGATAGGACAACAAATTTTCTGAGAGCTGCCCACGACCTTGATGTACATCGCGCCAACCATAGATTTGGCTGCGGAAAACAAGGGGCCTCCATATCCTTATATCATGCTAAATCATAGTCCTGCCAATAGGATTTGCTACAGCTAACCCATTTGCATTGCAAGAAATTTGAGGCTGTACCAATAGTGATTTGATGTGGTCGCGCGACGCAGGACATCTATATAGTATTTTCAAATCCAATAGGAATAGTTACCGGGAATTTGTTTGTATTAATTTGTGCCCTTCAAAATTATCGCTGTGCGCAATGCTTCGGCTACTTTTAACTAAATCTCTATAATTATAGATGAAAGAGGCTGTGTCATGGTGATTCTTCTTCCCTGGTGTGACTTTCCATTACCTGATGTGACTTTCTGTATCGCCGCCGTGCCATGGGGATGATGTGACTTTTCCCGCATGATATGACTTGGGCCCGGCACTCGTATTATGTATTATTTGCTGAGGTTATTCCAGCATATTTAAGATTTAACTTACATGGGGGAAACGTCCCTTTGGTCATTCCTCTTACATACCTCTTTTGGATGGGAGGGACGTTCGTTTTCTTTATTTGATGGTTTGGGATGAAGAAGGGGTGCGGTGGTGCAAGGAGTTCCGCATTTCATATTGTGGTCAATGCGCTTGACAACTCATGAATCAGGGGTCGTTCAGGGGGTCGTTCGGGGGTCGTTCAGGGGGTCGTTCAGGGGGTCGTTCGGTTGTATTTTCAGCACTTGTTTTCATTTGTATTCTTTGTTCGTCTTTTTTTTATCTTCTTCCCTTTCTTTCTCACAGACTGTTATTTCTTCTCTTTTCATTGTTTCCTTCGTTCACTCAGTCTACTCCTTTTCAAATCAAACCATTGTGGCAGAATGATTGTTTGTAATGCAAAGCAGTGCTGGCAGAAGAGTAGTCTGCAGTGCGAGGGGTGGGCTCTCTCGTGTTTGTTATAATGGTATTTTGTATCCTTCAAATGAAGGCAATCCCCTTGTGTTTTGATGGATTGCTGTGACCCTGCTGTGACCCAGTCGTGGCGACTTTTCCGCAAGCGGTTTGTCCACATTCAAGAAAATTGCTCTGACTTCAGCCCTCGACTGTAACTAGTGTTGGCAAGATTCGATAATGCTTGGCTACCTTTATATATTTTTACGGAATGGCGAATCTTTTTTATGCGCATAGAATTTTGTTATTGGGTTAAAGTGGTAATTTATGGGTGCGGTCATCTTCTTGTGCCGCAAACGGGGTGCCGTTGGGAAGTCCATAATATACATGTCATTCTTGCTGGATGAATCAATCGTTTGTGGCATTGATTTTTCTAACCTTTTACAGGGGCACACATGTTTTTGAAACATATTCTTCTTGAGATAGAAAATTCATGGGGATGGCTTCTCAATAGCTTGACTCGCACAGAAGAGAGAACAATAGAAGAGAAGAGTAGAGTAGAAGAGACTATATACAGAAGAGTAGAGAAGAGAATCGAATTGAAGAGTAGAAGTGATTAGAGAGGCCTAGAGCAGAGAAGGGAAGAATAGAAAAGATCTCTGCTGCCTTGCCCTGCTGCCTTGCCCTGCTGCCTTGCCTTGCAAAATCCAGATTTCGTACAGATCTCGTAAAGACCTCGTAAGGATCTCGTAAAAATAATGCAATGAGAATGACATGTAGAACTCCTGTTTTTCTAGAGGTCAAGTTGATGGTGCGCTATGCGGTTTATAACGCTTTGTGTCAGGTTTAAGACAGATAAACGGTACAAAGCATTGCAGTTCGCATAGGAATTTCATGAAAACAATGTGCACATACATGGATCGGCAAAGCGATCGGCTGCAGAAAAGAAAATTGTTACC